TTTGTTAATATTAATTTTCTTATTCTTATTACAATTGAAATCCAGAAAATTTAACCAATAAACAAACTTGCCATAATAAAAACAAACCAAAAATCTTTGGTGCCACATCCATAGGAGAAAAATCACCGTAATATGTGGCATACTTTTTTTAAATATTCAATGTTATATTTCTTTGTTGGTCCTCCGAAAAGGGGGTTGGGCGATAGGCTAGGCTAGGGATGGTTGGAACAGGGATTTTTCAACAACTGTTACAACCTGTTTCAGTTCCAAAAATTATCTGTTTCAATAAAACTGCTTCAGTTCCAAATTGTTCCAAGTCTAACACTGTGTTATGGGTTGTTTCAGTACCGGTTCGGTTTGTTCCAGAAAGGTTGTTGCATTAACAATAGACCATTGTATTTCTGGTTGTATATTTTGAAAGTTTGAAGTTTTGTCGCGAGTCGACAATTCACAGTTTACAATCATGGTTTATGCGCATGCACATACTTTCCACGCCACTGGAACTGCAACAACCATATAAAAGCACAGCAATACAACATCGGTCTCTGAAGTAATTGTAAATACACTGGTCTGTTGTGTGATAAAAAACTGTTATATTGGAACAGGAAAACTTATTGATCAATATCTGTTCCAACCTGTTCCAAATAAAAACCTGTTTCGAAAAGAACAGATCCTGTTCCAAAGTGGCATCTCTACCAGTAACCTATTCTTGCAAAATAGTACTACTACCAAACCTTCAGATAGGCCTCGGAATGGACGAATATAAAGACGACGACTTTGGCAACGGACTATGGAATTTATGCTGGGAAGATGGAATGTCAGAACGCTAAATAGACCAGGAGCACAGAGGATCCTTCTATACGAACTGAAAAGATATAAAATAGAAATCACTGCAGTACAAGAAACTAAATGGTTGGGAAAAGGTATCCGGGACACTAAAACACACACTATACTGTATAGAGGTAAAGATGAAGGAAATAAAGAATTTGGAGTAGCCTATATCGTAGATAATAAAATGAAGCACCTGATAACAGACTTTCAAGCCATCAATAAAAGAATCTGCAAGCTTAGGATAAAAACGCATTTCTTTAACATAACCCTTATAAATGTACACTGTCCCACAAATGAACAGCTGAAATGAATCTATGACTCAATACCAGGAAACGACATGAAGATGGTGATAGGCGACACAAACGCCAAGATCGGAAAAGAAGAAGAGTATATAGGGGTAACAGGAAAACATAGTTTGCATAGAGACACAAATGAGAATGGTCAGTTTCTAATAGATTTCGCAGCTGGAAAGAATATGATTATCAGTTCGACATGCTTCCCACATCGGGACATACATAAGGGCACCTGGATATCGCCCGACGGAAATACAGTCAATCAAATAGACCATATACTGGGTGAAAAAAGAATGGCGACGAGTATATTAGATGTAAAAAGCAGACGTGGCGCAAGCTGTGACTCAGACCAGCTACTAGGACAGACAGAACAGTAGATGAAAAATTACTAGAAGAAAACAGAGCAGACTCCACCATAGAAAACCAATGTAACACCATAAGCAGTAGGTATCATACTCACCATAGCGAAAAAGTCCTAGGAACCAATACACAACGGAGAGAAGAAACATGGTTCGATGAAGAATGCAAACAAGCTATACACGAAAGAAACGAAGCACATAAGAATTACATACTCAGACGTACTAGAGAGAGAAAAACAGAATTTGAGAACAAAAGACGAAGAGCAGATAAACTGTGCAGGCAGAAAAAGAGAAAGTACGAAAACCAACGGATCCTAAACATAGAGATGGAGTTTAAAGAAAAACGAAACACGTAGTGCACACCAATTTATCAAACATATAAGACAGGGATACAAATCGAACACTAGCCTCTGAAAAAATAAGAAGAGTGAAATCATTAGTGATATGGACGAAATTAAGAGAACCTGGATGACATATTTTAAGGAATTACTTAACAAAGGGACACAACCACCATTACAACAACAGAGGCAGCAGCAGGCACGGCAGGAGTTACAACAACAAGTGCTGGGGGAAGATAGAGAAGAAAATGAATTAACTATACCCCCAACGCTAGAGGAGGTCCAAACGGCAATCCACATACAAAAAAGCCATAAAGCACCGGGAATAGATAAAATACCGGCAGAACTACTCAAGTTAGAAGGAAGGAATTTGACACAACAGATGTACCAGCTAATACGAGAGATATGGATAGAAGAAGAAATTCCCCAAGAATGGAAGAAACGTATAATCTGCCCTATTCATAAGAAAGGAGACAAACTGTTGTGTCAGAATTATAGAGGCATCTCTTTACTTTGTTCGGGGTACGAAATACTCACAAACATCATTAATCGAAGACTTCAACCTCTCACGGAAAAAAATCGGAGAATATCAAATAGGGTTTAGGAAAAATAGATTTACCAACTATTTACAGTTAACACACTATTTTACAGACCAACTAGTTATTGTAAATAGTTGGTTACAGACCAACTATTTACAGTTAATACTACCAACAAATACTAGCTAAAACATGGGAATATGACATAGACATTTACAATCTCTTTGTAGATTTTAAACAAGCCTATGATTCAATAGATAGAACAATTCTACCTAATATATTGGAAGAATTTGGCATACCATCAAAATTAATACAACTAGTGTAAATTAAAATGACAGAAACAGAAGCACAGGTATGTATTCAAGGACAGATCACTGATGCGTTTACGATAACGAAAGGACTGAAACAAGGCGACGGACTAGCTCCAACGCTCTTTAATCTTGATCTTGAATATGTAATTAGACGGTTGACGGTGAGCGGAAATAACATACTTACAGACAAATCTACCCAATTAGCAGCATACGCAGATGATATAAACATAATGAGCAGAACAGTGAATTTAGCGGAAGAAACCTACATTGAGTTGAAACAGAGTGCAGAAGCAGTAGGGCTAGAAATAAATACAAATAAAACAAAACTACTCATACAAACCAAATCAAATATACCGGCGCAATAACACTTTATTGACGATATAGAACATGTGAATAGATTCACATACCTAGGAATGGATCTGGTCGCAAGCAATGAAGAAGAACCGGAAATAAATAGAAGGCTTGTGCTTGCAAATAAATAAAGCCTATTTCGTGATGATCCACATATTCAAATCGCGAGACGTACACCGGAAAACAAAACTCCGGGTTTATAAAACAATAATCGGGGCCATAATAAGTTATGGTTGTGAAACATGGGTGGTGACACAGAAATCTGCCAATGCATTAGATGTGTTTGAAAGAAAAATATTACGTAGGATACTGGGTCCAATAAGTGAAAACAACAACTGGCGAATTAGGTATAATAGAGAAATATACGAACAATATAGCGAACCAACTCCATCACAATACACTAAACTGCAGAGATTACGGTGGGCAGGGCACGTGGTCCGCATGCATGAGAAAAGAATCCCCAGAAAATTACTAAATGCAAGAATGCAGGGAAAAAGACCTGTTGGAAGACCTAAAAAGAGATGGGAAGACGAAGTCGATGAGAATGCCAGGAACTGCCTGGGAACACGTTCATGGAAAAGAACAGCGGTAAATCGAAATGATTGGAGAAGCTTGTTGAAGGAGGCCAAGGCCCGATTTGGGCTGTAGTGCCATTGGATGGATAATTCTTTGTTCCTAACAGTCTATTTTTCCCACCACTTTAAAAAATATTATATACTCTATTTATCTAATTGTTTTGTTTCCTGTATAGCTAATATTTGTACTTTAGATTTCTTAATTTCTCTAATTAATTCTTTAATTTTTCCCGTTTTATATGTACCTTCATTAGATATACCCAAGTTTGTTATAATTTTCTTGTTATCTTTAATTACAAATTATAGCCATTTCAAATAGTTCCGATCTTTATATCGTATTCATACCTCATCATTTATTTTCATTTTTTTAAATCCTAACATTTTGAGTCCGCCTAAACTCATCACCAATTAACAAAAATACCGTCGTACATAGTACAAACTCATCACCTCCATAAAAATAGGGATTATAATATTGTGATATAGTCCACGAAAAATTGGTATAATAAATGCATCACTGGCCTACCTGCACCCCGTGGCAGGTATAGACCATAAACCCCTTGTAAACAGCTAAGGTTTGGTAGTTTGACAAAATAATCTCAAATATAATGTTAAAATGCAAATGCAATTCATTGTTTTTATTTTTATGAATTCTACAAAATTCTATTGATAGCTCCCTAAAACTATGCAATTAGAAAAAACTCTCTTCATTTATTCTTGTTCCTTTAACATGGATAGTGAACTGCTCATTGATTACGTTTTGAGCCAACGCGGACAAAAAATGACGGTTATCACTAATTTAAAATTTCAGTTGCAATAGACTCTACAATTAAATTGCCTTTTGTGGACTCGTGCGACGAAAGGGTGTAAGGCTAAATGTCATACAACTGGTGAATAAATTTTATACCGTTTTTTTAGTTGTTTGGCACTGGTGGCGAATCATTCTGATGAAACAAAAATATAATAAATATAAAAAGCATGAGGAGAGAAATCAATGGAAGGAAGTGGTAAAGAAATGCATGGAAAGACTATAAGAAATGTTAAACCTATTTTATATAAATAAATATGTAAATAGTAATTGTATTAGAAAAATAAACTTTTCAGCCTTCAAGGTCTGTTGAGCTTTATAAATATAATATGAATGATGAGGCATGGCTTAAGAAAATCACAATTATCTTCTTTTAGTAAAATGTGGCTAAATATTTTGTATAGACAGACTAAGGCAATTAGGAAGTAAATCCAAAGTTACCAATATGCCCAAATATTAAGAACTGTTATTTATATAAAAACATGTGCAACGAAGGTTAGAATATTCAAGGTATAATTTAAAATAAAATAACTATGGTTTATAATTAAATGCTTAATTTAGAAAACTTACTAGATACTAACTAAACTAAAATTTTACTCACCCCCTCAAATGTCTTGCCAGATTTAAATAAATCATATGGGTACAGAAGTCTTTCATAGTGCATTTTCAGTGCAGCTCCAACACCCTTTTTTTGGAAACCCATCGAGTCTGCTACTTCTTTCCACTTTCTTTCTTTAATTACATTTTCAAATCCACCTTAAAGCAAACGAGACAAATACGTAACTTCTTTGCTCCCATTCCCCCTTCACATGGTACTCAAGCACCACCAGATAATAGCCTAGATAAACTAGTGATTAAAGTGTCAACTTTCAAGTCAAAAGGTGTTCTTAAAATAACGGAAACAAAAATTAAATGATTTTTATTATTAAGAGGTATTCGCAATATTCGCATCTGACCTGTCAGTATGGAAGAAAATGGAAAGCAACCAAAGAAAAACTTAAAAATATGATTGAACTATAGAATAAGATTTTTAAGAAATGCAGAATGACATTAAATAAAGCTAAAATTATGACAGTAGGTAATTTATATTTTTCTTTGAATCAACAACTCCCTTCGCCACCTGAATATATATTTAAATATAACCTACCAAAGCGCGATATTTATATTTTTGTGAGATTAAAAAGTCAACAGGGAAATATGCAGCACATCTGCATAAATTAGAAATAGTGAATTCACCAGTTTGCTTTTATGATGTTTCTATTAGAGATTTGAATAATATTTTCCTGGAATGCAAAATTAACGAGAGATATACAGGGTGCGGCAGATAAACGGCCAATTAGAAATATCTCGAGAAATAACGGTAACTGAATTATGAAAATTGCAATGAAGGGGTTTTGAAGAGTGACCTATTTAATGAAAATATTTTCACCTATTTGCTACTTCCGGTTATACCGGAAGTAGCTTATAACTTTGTTTTTTAAAGGTTATCCTGTGGTTTTTTTAATTTAAGAAATATTTACGTTATTCTAAACATTTTTTGTTAATACTTCCCTATACCTATTGTAAACCGTTTTTCAATTATAATGGTTTTTATATGAAAATTACACTTTTCTACCATGTACATAAAGTTCAATATCCTCCAATGTAATTTGAATAAAAGTTTAAATTCCTAATTAAATTTTCACCTATTTCATGAACTTTATTTAGTGTGTGCCAGTGTGGGTCTTAAAATAAACATCTCCAAAACAAAATTCATGAAAAACATAGTACCTAGCGGAAATATCGATATTGAAGAAATCGAAGTAGAGCTGGTGGAAAAATACATATATCTTGGACATGAAATAAAGATCACAAGAGACAATCAAACATGCGACCTACGAAGAAGAATAAACCTAGCATGGACAGCCTATGGAAAACTCAAAGACATATTTAAAAGCGATATACCAATTTCTTTAAAACGTCAAATGTTTGACCAATGTGTGTTGCCTGTGATGACTTATGGTGCCGAAACTTTGACATTGACAGCTACAAGTTCTAAAACGCTGAAAATAGCTCAGAGGAAAATGGAAAGGTCAATGCTGAGTATATCGCTTCGTGACCCAGTTAGAAATTAAGACGTAGAACAGGAGTTACCGATGTAATTTCCCGAATTGCCACACTGAAATGGAACTGGGCCGGACACGTCGCCCGAATCAGTGATGAAAGTTTAATCTGCCCCTAATTTTTGTCTAATCTGCCCCGAGATTAGACAAAAGAAGTAGAGGAAGACCCCCTACTTGTTGGACTGACGATCTCAAGAAAATGTCAAGAAATTGGATGAAAAGTGCTCAACATAGAGCACAATGGACAAAAATGATGGAGGCCCATGTCCAGCAGTGGACACAAGGGGCTGGGTGATAATGATGGTGGATTTTTACTGCCCGTCTTTTATAAAGATACATTGGCTTTTAGGTTTATAGGCTATGGTCTGAAATTATTATTGTCTTAATCTGAATCTGAATCAAGATGAACTTCAGATCAGATCAGAATCCAGTCAGTCGCCAGCTGAAAGTCAAATGATCTTTGGTAATACTTTTCACAGTCCTAAGTTAGAACCGAAGGACATAATTACAGGCCAGTGCCTATAAGCCTAAACACCAATGCATCGCATATCAGGGAGGAATGGTAATTTTTAAAAATATAAAAAACATGTTTCTTGTTTTGCTATACCCAATGTTGGACGCAGGTCGCTTTTTTGCACATGTAAACAAATCGTTAGTACTTATGGTTCTGAAACTATTTTCTTGTGGCATTTTTATATTAGGTATTATATTTAATGGGAATAAGTCACAATTTTAATGAAAAATACTCTATATTTGATATTTCGATTTTCACCTCGGAAATTGTTTTCACTACGGAAATATCTATGGGATATGATGGGAAGACGTCTTCGAGCACGAGTACCCCGTCCAAACAACTTGGCAGAACTTACAGCGGCTCTTCACGAAATATGGGACCAATTGGATCAATTTGATATTCAGATGCCAGATAATTACCTCAATGCCTAGACGTGTACAGGCTGTTATAAGGGCCCGAGGGGGAAACACTATTGATTTATTATCAATGTTTTTCTTAATTTCAGAAAGTTTTGAATATTCTTGTATTTTTGAGTTTTGGCGTATGTCTCTATAAATAAATGATTTTTTGGATAATCTGTAAAAATTATTTTAATCTAACATATACTTTTACTATATACCTGATTTAAAACTAATATCTTCAAACGTTTTCTTTTTTCAGCAAATAATACCCATGGATCAATTTTTTTGCACCTGAATGTATATATATATATATATATATATATATATATATATATATATATATATATACAGTGTAGGAAAAATTTTATGGTCGGTATGGACCTTACGTGAGATGGAGTGAGAAACAGCTGTTTACAAAGAGAGAGGTATATTAGGTCCGCCCTTTATATCGCCAAACATGCCTGGAAAGGAGAAGTTCAACGTTGCCAAACTTATTGGATTTATTTGACCTGTTGTTTTTTTTTGCATTTGAACAATGTTCTAAGATAATCCAATTTGGGCGAAATTGATTTAAATGGCAGCTTACTGTTTTTTTTTTTATTGGGAATATGCCACAAGTTTACTTTACAATAAGTGTAATATAACATTTTGATTTCCACTTTGGAAATCGTTTTATATAAATAAAATTTATTAATGTTTCGTATTTTAAGTACGATTTCCGAATTAAAAATTTAAACATCAAAATAAGCTTATTTTAAAGTCACATTGTGCCTTATTCCCAATATGAAATAATAAACTGCATACAATAACACCACATTAAAAAATATTCATACACAATAATTTATTTGGCAACGTCGTCCGTCTGGTCAGAACACCGAGTAACGGGTAGTAGAGGTGGGTCGTGGTAATTTTATCGTTAAGAGCGTAGGCATAAAATTTCGGATTAATATTTTTTAAATGCATTCATTTTTTTCGAATCCTAATAAAACTAATAAATATTCTTGAAAAATTTAAACGCAGAATGAACCAATACATTATTACCGAGGGCCAAAAGTCCCTGAAAACTTCTATAATGTTTATTTTAATAAGTTATAAGGGCGAAAAAAAAATTAGTGTGATTTTTAATTTCAAGTATCTCATTCAAAAAACTTTTTGTTCATTCTAAGGGACTTTCGGCCCTCGGTAATAATGTAATCTTTTATTCTGCATTTAAATTTTTCAAAAATATTTGTTAGTTTTCTCAGGATTCCAAAAAAATGAATGAATTTAAAAATTAAAATTTTTGTAAACAAGTAACTATGATTGTTTAAAAGTAGTTTCAAGTAAGAGAGTACCTACATAAACAAACATAATGGCTATTATCGTTTATGTGTATATTTATTGAAGTGAAAGAAACTAATAATATATTTATTATAACTTGAAAAATAAACTAAACAATACAAATAGTAAATCGTACTTACATTTACATTACACGTTAGTATTAAATCGCGAATAGTCTAAATTGACATTAAAAAACATAAGTTTTTCTACTATACCTACTTCTTATTAACCGTCTTCTTTTTTTATTTCAAATTAAACCAGATTTTGAACATGTGTTCACATTTACAATACTGTATGAATATAGGGGTTAAGTTAGGATATACATGGCGATGGTTTTTCCACCGTTGTAATGGACTCTCGATACAGGTGTACGTGTAGATGAGCCATCTCCAATTAATTGATCAAATATACACCATGGATTTAAGTCATCTTTATTGGTTTCTTTTTCTTGTACTGGTTGATTTTCAATAGTACAATCTTCTTGTTCGTTAATTATAGAAGTAACGAGCTTCTTAACTTTTTCTTTTATTTTTTTATCTTCATTTTTATCAGAAAAACCCTGCACTTTAAATGGTGAATCCATAAATGTACATAATGACAATATGCCACTCTGTTCTATCCCTTTAAATATTTTTGCTAAACCCGATATTAGTAATTGTACTACGTCGGATACTATGGATGTAAGGTTACCGTTTGCTAAAATTTTCTTGCAAGATTCTTGCAGGCCGCGTACCATAACAATCACTGAACTACCCTTCAAGTATTTTTGGTCACTCATTGTACTTGTTATTTCTTTAAACGGCCGTAAAATTTGGGAAAGCTGAGAACAAATAATCCAGTGTTTTTTATTTAGATTTGGTCTAAGTCTGTATTATTTAATACCGATGTGGAACGGAAATACACGCCAGTACACCGAAAATATCAAAATACAGAGAGGAGTCCGCCAGGGTTGCGTGCTGTCCCCACTACTTTTCAATGTCTACAGTGATCGGTATTTTAAGAAGCGCTCTCAGACTCAATAGAAGGTATATCTATCAATGGAGAAGTTTTGAATAACTTACGTTTTGCAGACGATACAGTAATAATTACGGATAACAACAATGATTTACAGAACCTAATGCAACGCCTTAATGAACGCTGTCATGAGTACGGACTGAAGATAAATTAAAAAAAAACTAAATGCATGATCATGACTAAATCTGCACAAATATCCAATTGACTATTGAAGATACTGCAATTAAGAGTGTTAATAACTATAAATACTTAGAAACATGGATAACATCAGATGTAGACCAAACCAAAGAAATTAAGACACGTATTGAAATAGCACGTACATCATTTATTAAACTTAAAAAGTTTCTTTGTTGTCGAGATATAAGGTTTGAGAATGCTTCGATGTTACGTGTTCTCTACTCTTCTTTATGGTCTGAAAGCTTGGACACTAAAACAAGTTCATCTGAATAAGTTGGCCGCCTTTGAATTTTGGTGTTACAGAAGAATCCTACGAATATCATGGATTCAAAAAATGTCAAACATTGAAGTAACTAGAAGGATAGGAAATGAGGCAGAAATAATATTAACTATTAAAAGACGAAAACTTGAGTACTTGGGACATGTGATGAGAGGGCAAAAATACGCATTATTACAACTTATTATGCAGGGCAAAATCCGAGAAAAGCGAAATGTGGGAAGACGAAGAATATCTTGGCTTAAGAACTTAAGGGAATGGTTTGAATGCAGTAGTGCAGACCTTTTTAGAGCGGCAGTCAACAGAGTCGGCATAGCCATGATGATTTCCAACCTTCGATAGAAGATGGAACTTAAAGAAGAAGAAGTGAAACGGATTGCCTCTTCTAACTCAGTCATTCTTTTTAACCTGTAATAGGTGAAGTTCTACCTAGTTTCCACGTCTTGGATTGGCCGTTTGGGAACTTTGTTATGTTGTAATTAATACTTTAAAAGCCTTTCTGAAGATAAGGTACTTTTTTCAATGTTTTTTGCAGAATTGTCGAAAAAAGGACTTTTTATTTTATCTATTATCAAATCAGTTTTGACATTCCTGAAGTAATGAATCTAACAGTTTTTCTTGTTGGCGGTTTATATCCAGGAATCCACCCTGCAAACTTTTTAAAAGCTGGTTCTTCACCTATAAAAAACGGATGAAACGAGTCTTTGCATAAGTTTAGTAAATCAATAAGTTAAGTCAAGAAAAAGAAACTGATAAAGATGACTTAAGTCCATTGTGTATTTTTGATGAATTAATTGGACATGACTCATCTAAACATATAACTGTATCGAGAGATATACAAGAAGTCGACATGTATTTGTCTGATAATATATTACCCACAATAAATTTCGAACGGAGATTGGAACTGTCCATTACCGTGGTGGAAAAACCATCGCCATGTATATCCTAACTTAGCCACTATATTCATAAAATATTGTAGTATTGTAACAAAATCTTTTCCTTGTGAACACATGTTTAAAATCTGGTTTAATTTTAAATAAAAGAAGAACACGGTTAACAAGAAAAGTAGAAAAACTTGTTTTTAAATGTCAATTTAGACGATTCGCGATTTAATAATAACGTGTAATGTAAATGTAAGTACGATTTAATGTAAATGTAAGTACTATTTGTATTGTTTAATTTATTTTTCAAGTTATAATAAATATATCCTTCGTTAGGTTCTTTCACTTCAATATTTATACACATAAACGATAATAGCCAATATGTTTGTGTACTCGCTAATTTGAATCAACTAGTTACAGTTTACGAAAAACGGTTCCGATAAAAATTTAAAAAACGGGAGGACCCACCTCTAGTTTTTTAGGTATATTAGGATCGGAACCAGAGAATATGTAAAATATCTCTGATCGGAACTATTCGTCTCACTAATGGCCAATAGGCGTTAAAAATATTTGCGGAGGGGAGACCAAGGGGAAATATGATTGTTATCTTTGTCTATTCGCTGAAAATATGATTTTATATCTGCGTTAGATATCCCTGTTAAATTTTACCATACCGACCATAAACTTTTACCTATACTGTATATATATATATATATATATATATATATATATATATATATATATATATCGGAAAAAGGAGTACGACCGTCAATCCAATATATATATAAGGATCACTCAGACGAGTGGTGGGTTCTTATATCGGTCTCTAGGTGGAGAAATAAAAGACAAAGTTGATAGGCTACTTTATCTATTTTGAAGACGTTTCGCTTTCGAGTTTTGAAAGCATCATCAGTTCATCTAAAAAATTTTTTAGATAAAGTAGCCAATAGCCGTCTTCAAAATAGATAAAGTAGCCTATCAACTTTGTCTTTTATTTCTCCACCTAGAGACCGATATAAGAACCCACCACTCGTCTGAGTGATCCTTATATATATATATATATATATATATATATATATATATATATATATATATATATATATATATATATATATATATATATAGGCTTTCTGTATAATCTCTCTAAAAACCATTATTTTAACGACATTTCGACAAGGTCGCACTTGCCATTGTCAAGTCGGGTAGTAGCGCTTCTCGCTGATGTTTGAAGTTAACTGACAGTCAAATATAAAGCATTTATAATTAAAATGGAGGTTTATTTCCATTAAATATAGTGCTTGAATCTTTAGAATCATGGAATTTTAGAAAATGCGTTACATATGTAGAGTTCTCATATGGGAAATGAATTATATAAAGGCTATATGAATTTGAATGTAGTCAGATATTTATTATTTTGGTATCTAAAGAACATCTATTTACTTAATAAAATCTAAAGTCTTAAAAACATATGAAATAAGTGTAAAAATAAAACCACAAATATGGAAAGTAAGAGATTTTTAAACAATTGCATCTTGAGGACCATGCGATAGAAGATTTAAATTAATTAAGTAAATTAATTAAATTATGCGTACATAACCAAATACTTAATTTTTTTAGTCTTGCTTACCTAACTGCTGCACAACACGATGTAAGTTATATAAATCCAAAGGCCTATTTTCCACCATAGGAAATCTAAACAAAGATCCTTGTAGATCCCAAAATTTGGCGATTTGGTCTAAGAAATTAAAATTGACTCTGGTTATTGCCTACAAACAGGTGAATTTAGTTAAAAGCAATAAAAAGGTTTTGTAAAAATTGAAGGAACTGATTCTCACCTCAAGTTCATTTAGTCGTTGCACTCTGGGAGTGAATGTAAGTTTATCAACATCAACGGCAAATGGTGGTGTCCAGTCCTGTAACATATAATTAAAATACAATTTTAGTTACATTATTTTATTACAGTGGTATTAATGTTACTTATGCAACGACAGTCATTTACGCTAACAAGCTAAAACGTGGATTTTTTTAGGGAATAAAATGATGCTGCGGCATGATGATAACGATAGAAGTGTACATACCAGGTGATTATGATACAAAAATATTTATTATGGTTCATGCCGGTTTAGCAAAAGGTTTTATTTCAAACGCCAGTTTGTTAACTTGTTCCAAATCCTTGACTGCAGATTATCACGGTGAAATGAATAGTACAATATTTACTAAATGGATAAGTACATAATCACTTTCTAATTTAGAACACCTATCTTTGATTGTCATGAATAACGCACCCTATCATAGTGAAATCATGAATAAACAACCTTCCACTAAATGGTTAAAATCAGACATTATACATTATATCATGTTGATTGTGTGTGTGTGTAGATTGGGTGCAGATACAATGTTAATTTGGTGAACATTAGTTAAAATCAGAATTGTTACAATTGACCAACATGAATCGACATTATATATATATATATATATATATATATATATATATTGTAGATAAAGTCATCCAAGCTATACAGAAATTGAAAGAAAACAAAGCTCCTGGGACAGATGGCATTCCTTCAGAACTTCCTACTAGAACACTAGTAAGACGAAGTATATTCTTCTTCTTATACCATGTCCTTTCAGAACGTTGGTTACCATCATAGCTATCTTAATTTTATTCACTGCCACCCTAAATAACATGCTTGTATCAAAACCATACCAATCTCGCAAGTTCTTCAACCATGAGGTTCTTCTTCGTCCTGAACTGTGTTTGCCTGCTATTTTTCCTTGCATGATATTTTGTAGTTACCTATATTTGGGACCTCTCATTACATGTCCGAAATACTCCAGCTTTCTCTGCTTGATGCTTTTTATGTCTCTTCCAACCTTTGCGAACATGCTGAGATCCTGATGAAAACACACTTCCTGGATGGAAAAAATAATTATACCCTCACTGAACGACTGGCATCTCACCAGAATAATGAAGAAAAGGTAAGATGGGCCATATTGTGCTTCAGCCCTTTCAACTCACCAGGGCCTGACGGCATACATCCAGCCCTACTACGATGGAGAATGGATCTTTCTGCCGCACCTTGTGGGAATATCTAGAGCCTCTTTGGCTCTGAGATATATTCCTAGGAAGTGGAGAGAGATACGTGTGGTATTCATACCAAAACCAAGTAGGATGAACAACACCCTACCAAAGACTTTCCGACCAATTAGCATAACATCGTTTCTCTTGAACACGATGGAAAGGCATGTGAGAGGTACATAGATGTAGAGGTACACAAGAGATGCAGTTTTGGTTCACAACCCACTTCACATGCACTTCAAATCAGCATCCATATACTTCGGGAAGATCTACTGATTCTGCACTGCATCAAGTAGTGGGAAGAATTAAAAGACCGCTGGATAATAAAGAATCCACCCTAAGTATATTCGTAGACATTGAGGGAGCATTTGATAAAACCACATTCCCAACCATCACTCAACGGCTCAATGTCAGGAATGTTCCCCTGGTCGTAAGCGAAATGATATTCAGTATGCTCTCTAATAGAGCAATAAGCATAAATGTAGAAGATATTTCTGTTAGAGGCATGGTTACGAGCGGGTGTCCACAGAGAGGGGTGCTATCACCATTCCTCTGGGACATAGTTGTAGACACCCTGGTTTTGACCAACTCAGCAGCAACGGGTTCTACACAATAGTCTATGCAGACGATATTGCTGTTATGCAAAGCACTAAGTTTGAGAACACACTATGTGAGAGATTACATGTTGCTCTCCGACTAATAGAAATATAGTGCAAGGAACACTCACTATCTATAAATTCTAAGAAGATAGAGACGGTCCTCTTCACCAGAAAAAGAAGAATCACGGAATTAATACACCTAAGGATTCTAAACTAGTCTAAACTTTTATGATGAGATGAAATAACCTGGAACCACCCTTGACAGGAAGGTAACATGGAACTTACACTTAGATGGTAGAGATAAAAGGGCATATTGCCTATGAGCAATGTCTACAAATGGTCGGACGTACTTAAGGCCTTTGCCCAGGTTGATCGCCTGTGTTTACACTGCTGTCATTAGGTCCATGCTAACTTATGGAGCTACGAGATGTCAACTACAGAAGAATTATCCAAATTGAGATTAGAAAATGACCTCTTAAAAAGACTAATTATGGAAATGGAAGACAAAAATGTTGTATTAAAAGAAAACAATAATTTATTGCGCCAAAAAGTAAGTTATCTAGAGCAAAAAACCGAAAAAAAAAAAAACTGAATAAGAAAGTGTAAATAAACAAGATCAGATAATGGATCACTCTGTTGATAAAAAATTCTCAAGATCGGTACCACCTCGTACACAAAATAGATCATTCACAGCAGTAGTAGCTCAAACGTCAAAAAGTTTAAGTAGTTCCTCTGAACAGAAGACAAGTGACAACATTAATGTCAACCTCAAAAATAAACAAACAACTGAGGTTAATGAGTAAATAAAAAAACATAAAATAACTGAGGAAAACAGCGATAGTGACTCAGATGGGTTCCAAAAAGTTATACACAGGAGACATCGGTACATAACTAAAAAAAATATAGGAACGGCAGTAAGCGATGACGATAGCACAAATGGTTTTGCAGGGGAAAAGAAAAAAGTGTGGCTATAAATGTATAGAGTGAAGAGAACAAAACAAGAGGAGATATGTAAATTTCTATTAGAAAAGAGGAAAATGCAAAAAGAGTCTATTATGGTAAAGGAATTGCCAAGTCAAGAAAATATGTTGAAGAGATTTGTTGTATCGGCTCCCTTTGAATATAAGGATGACATGTATAAACCAGAGTTTTGGCCTAATGGTGTTGGCATAAAAAGGTTCCAGATGCATCGTCATAAGGATTTTCTAGATAACCGAGGTGGAAATTTTTCATAGGAGAAAATAGAGAGCACAAGACACATCAACACAAGGAAATTGAAATACAAAACACAGTCACACGAGCAAAGAATATAAGTATCATCCACCAGAACCTCCCATCCATAGGAAATTGTATTGATGAAATAGAAGAACTTCTAACAAACAGCAGTGACTGTAAAATATTGTGCACAACAGAACATTGGAAAACTAAAGAAGAATTAAGTCAATATGGAATTAACAATTTTGTGCTAACAGCTAGTCATTGTAGAAATAATGTGAATGAACATGGAGGAACAGCTGTATATCTTAGTAAAGACATCGTTGGCCAGGAAGAAAAGGATATACAAGAGTTATCAGTAGATAGGGTAATAGAGTGTGCTGTATGCGAAGCTAATATAGGTAATAACAAACTCATTATAGCATCAGTTTACAGACCATCAGGTAGCGATCTGGCAGTTTTTTTAAACAAATTGATATTATACTGGGAAGAATTATGATAGAAAACACAATTATAATTATAGGGGAGATTTCAATATCGATCTTAAGAATAACACATTAGATAAAGTAAAATTTTGTATGTTAATTAACTCATATAATATTTGTCATGCAATTGAAGACTACACTAGAGTAACTGCCACATCTAAAACTTGTATAGATAACATACTAACAAATATGCAATCATATGTGCCAGTAGAAGTCTTGCACGCTGGAATTCTGACCATTCTACCCAAAAATTTACTTTTCAGGTAGAAGAAGCAGAAACGAATACTCTTGAAATGAAAAGACATTTTAGTACAAATAATATTGAAACCTTTATAAGTAAATTACATAATCATGACTGGCTTAATTTAAGTTACAAATGTGTAAATGATCAATGGAATACTTTCTTAAATCAGTTTCTGTATATATTCAATAAGTACTTTCCTTTCAAAAAGTTAGATTCTAGGCAACGTAAAAAAGGCCTTAATAAAAGAGATGATCCAAAGATAATAGAATGTAAGACTCGTTTAGACATCTTGATTACAATGAGAGCAGAGTTAACCATAAATTCTATGATTCCTATAGACAGGTAAAAAAAGAATATAATAAGAAACTAATAACAAAACGATCAAAGCTATATGAAAACAGGATGTCAGGAAGCTGCCAACAAAAATAAATGCATGTGGCAAATTGTTAGTGAAATTAATGGTCAATTAAAAAGTGTAAATTCAATAAAAGTAGAGGGTAGTCCTCAAGAGATTGCTGATAAATACATGATCCACTTAAATACTTCTTTAAATAACACTTTATCTCAATTACAATACACTGAATATAAAGACAACATTGCAAGTAACATAAATTCAGTGTTTGTCGCACCTGTGACAGAAACTGAAATTATGGATATACTATTAAATTAAAAAAAAAAAACAAAATGAGTTGTGGAATTGATGAAATACCCACTAAAATCCTTAAACTTTGTATAAAGGAGATAGTGAATCCTCTCACTACAATCATAAATAATTCACTAAAATCTGGTGTATTTCCTGAATGCCTGAAAACTGCCATAGTAACACCTGTTTACAAAAAGGGTGATCCTAAATTAATTAATAACTATAGACCAATTAGCCTTCCATGTTCCTTTTCAAAAATCTTAAAAATGACTATGTATAGGCGGATAACAGAATTTTTAACAAAATGTCATATTATTAGTGCAAATCAGCATGGTTATCAACAGGGAAAATCAACTCAGACTGCGATTTTTCAATTTGTCTGGGATATTTTGAAATGTACTGAGATTGGTCATATGGCTTTGGGTCTCTTTTTGGACCTATCTAAGGCATATGACTGTTTAGTGCATGACATATTATTTGATAAATTGGAGAAATATGGTATATGTGGACCAGCATTGAATTGGTTTAAGTCCTACGTGGCAAATAGGAGACATTTAGTAAAAATACATAAAAACACTGAAATATGCATCTCATCTGAAAGCACTATCAATATTGGAGTACCACAAGGAAGTGTGATTGGTCCTTTAC